TTCTGTGAATAGGTGATTGTTTGAGTTTCACTGACCCTGGTATGGTGGAATTCTTCAAGCTGTTTCTGACAGTTCTCGAGGTCCTGAATGAGAGAGTTCTGAACAAGAGAATTCACAAGACCGCGTCAAAACAAATCTGTGTGTCCAAGTGTAACCTGTGTTATACTTTTATGCATTTATTCTTTGAGGCAATACAGCAATATGAGCTGCTGCATGGATGGATGCATTGCCTTGTCCTCCAAAGCAGCCATGCGTTCCTTCAAATGAAGCTGCAGTCTTTCGTTGGACTCAGTGAGCAGACGATCCACGGTGTCTGACAAACGCTTGTTGTGCTCCTCATTCATTTTCTCTCTCTGACGAGCCTGGTGAGCGGAGAGAGAAGCAGACATGTGGGAAGGACATCATCAAATGTTCTCTTTTGACAGAGACTCCATTTGAATGTATTTCTGCAGCTATCAAGCATATGTGTGGATTAAAAGATGGTGTGTATTGAGCACAAGATCACCAGCTGCCAGATACAGGTCCTCTTGGCCAACAATGGATCTCACAGCTAGACTTATTTAATTATTACATGACGATGCTAAGGGTTAGATGCCTTCTATTAAATATGTATTTCACAGTAATTTCAACAAAGAGAATTAACACAGACACACAAACACAAATTTGCATCTTAAGAGAGCTCTTTTAACTAAATATAGTCACGAGATTGCACGGAGACAGAGACAGAGAGAGAGAGAGAGAGAGAGAGAGAGAGAGAGAGAGAGAGAGGAATTAGCCTTGCGTGAATTATTCGGAGTCTAAAGATAGCAGCCAATAGAGATTGTTTTGCAAATTCATGCAACAATGCACCGGAAAAATGGAAGGGCTCCTCATATGTGTGTCTGTCCTGTGTGCTGGTATGTGTATGCATCAGAGAGCACAGTGGCATGAGTCAAGGCGTCCAACTAATGTGAAGCATCAGCCCACACACAGCCACAACCCCCCAACCCTTCGACGCACACACACACAACATAGTGAGAGGTCAGAGAAACCCTGCAGGGCCGGTGCACACAACACACACAGACCCTTCCTAGCTCTTGGTTCTTCTCCCCCAGTTGTGATTCCAGCTGTCTGAGACGCTCTTCCACGTTGCCATGGCGCTCCTCAGCCTGCAGAGGGAGACACTCACATCTAAGTGCAACTGTCAACAAATACGTGCTACCATGTATTCTGTAAATGTAAGCGATCCATCTCGTTTTAAATCGGCACCCTTTGCGGTGTTTTCTACATTTGTGTGTGTGTCTTACCTTGGAAAGTGCCGCTACTCTCTGCGCCAGCTCGGCTTCCACCTCTGGCAGTGTCTCAGCCTTCCTCATGGTCTGAGCCAGCCTCTGCTCCGCCATCTCCAGCATCTCCTGCAGCTGGCGCACCTTTTCCTCGCTCTGACATGCACAAACAAACACACGTAGACACACACAGTGGAAAGAAAGAAGAGGGACATGGGGTGATCACAAGGCAGATGTAATCAGTGTGGAGCAGTGTGGAGCGAGTAGCAAGGACACGGCAAATGGTAACAAATGGAGGATGTTTCAGGTATTCCCCATGTGGAGCTGAACTCACATAGACTCTGAACTACTCATCAACCTTGAGGCGTACACACTGACATTCTTCAATACCTCACAATCACTGCCACGCTTTATTTCTGAGTTTCTCACTATTGTAGCTTCATTGCAGATGACACAGTAGAGGCATGACATGCAATTAGCCTGAATCCACCCAAGACAATGTGCCATTTGCTGTGTAACTGAACAACACATTAGTTATGCATCCAAGGATGCTTGAACATAGCAAAGTTATTAAACAGCACATTTTTGTAAATTTCGACTGAAGCGCTTGTTGCAGGCATAATGAACTGTGGTTGAATTCTAGTCATGAACCCCCTACAGCTAGTGTTGTTGTGTTACCTGTCGGTGCAGCGAGTCCTTGGTGGCCAGTTCATTCTCCAGTTTGTCGTTGAGGTCGTGGATGTGTGTGGTCTCCCGCTGAGCAGCCAGGTAGCGTTTCTCTAACGTTGTTATCCTCTCCTCCATATCCTCTCTCTGTCAGTACAGAGACACAAAAACAAGCACAGTGAAATCAGGAGACACAAATCTTCAGCAACATACATGGTGAGTCCAAAAGCTAAGACTGGTATACTTTATCTCTTCATGTTTGGGCCAAATCCCACATTTCAGGTAAAATATGTTAACAATATAATTTTTTATAGTGAATTGCATTTAAGCAATTAGCTTAGAAGACATTGTACTTTACTATTTGTGATGAAAATAACATAAAAAGAAGATTAGTATGATATGGTTGAGAAAAACTGAGAACTCAGTAGCATGGGTAACACATGTGTATTAAAAAATGAATCTCTATGAATTCATCATTGAAAGGTTCATGTATTTCAGTAAGTCAAATCCAAAAGAGAAGCTCATATACAGTATTATATAGATTCATTACACGTAACACTCCAAAATTATGTCAAACTCATCAGCTGAAAGAAAGTTTCAAGAGCCTCCCAGTCAGGTTCAGGAGGCCACACAATACTAGTGGGGAGGACTGCTGACTTGACAGTTGTGAAGAAAACAGTCCAGAAAACAGTCATTGACACCCTCCAGAAGGAGGGAATGCAGATTTAATTTTTTAAGTACTGAAATAAATCAACTTTTCCACAATAGTCTGATTCGTTGAGATACACATGTATGTAACCTACTGTTCTCACGGCTCGCTTCCAGAATAAAACACTGTTTCCTCTGCTCTCACCTCCCTCTGTTCCCGCTGTTGTTTGATTGACAGTTCCTCGCTGCGACTTAGTTCTCGGCGTGCATTTGCAAGCTCTGCTTCAAGTTCGGCCATACGGCAGTTGAGAGAGGCAGCATGCTCACGGCTCTGAAGCAGCTCCTTATTGGTCCGATCCAACACCTCCTGAAGCTCCGACACGCGGCTGCCTCCATCGTGGGAATCTATAGAGCCGTTAGGCAGTCTCTGTAAGGTGGACACACAATATTATTGGCAGTATATACACATTCTCTCCTAAAGGGTATTTTTGGACTGAGACACACAAGTTGGAACACTATTGGCCGAGGGTGTAGAAAGTTGTTGCAGAACTAATAAAGTCGTGTGACCTAAATATACAAGTATATAACAAATATATAAGTGTTGAGTGTTATGCACAGATTGATGCTCTTCTCTTCTTAATGGTATGTTGTGCTTTGCAAGTTTAATTAGTCTTTTAATGAAACAACTGTATATTGACATTGACGTTGATGAGACACAGGGATGTTTGTTACTCCTTGATGGAACAAGACACAGTTACATAATGTGTGCTCCGTTCAGGGCTGGCCACAAACCAGGGAAAGGGCTCAAATAACGCCATGAGAATAAACTAAAAAGGTTGAGGAAGATTCATGCTGTATTTAGCTCAATTGTTTGTGTTTGTGTGAGAGCAGGTATGTTAATCTGCTGAGGAAATATAGAAATGAGATGCAAAGACGGTGACTGACAGCCGGACGGACAAATACTCTGCAGACATATGAGCACAGAGCAGAAAAACAATCACACAGCCAGGAAGACCTTCCACATAGGTTTGGGTCCATCTGTTCGCTCCACTGAGTCAACATCCTTCCTTTGTCTCACCATGTTCAACTGCAATATGGATTAAAAAGAAAAGAAAAAAACAGTGAGCAAACTTATTCTTTACTGTTCCCTCAGTGAACAAACTTCCTGAAACGGAAGCTTGGCTTCCAGGCTGCCAGCATGCTTCGGTCAACATGCCCCACCATTTTTACATAACTACAAATATGAATATGAGGAGGGGGGGGGGGTCGCTTCAATGCGGGTATTCTACTCATAAAAAATCAGTGGGATCAGTGTGACTTAACAAGCTTTGACTTCATATCTTACGTAACCAACTGGAATTCTTTACTTTAACTGAGCCTGCTGGGATTATTTAACATTTATTTACCTTTCGAATGATGTCTCTACAGACTACAGAGGGCGAGTTTGTGCAATGCACATGTTTGGATGTGCATGTGTGTATGAACAGAAGGCTGAGACGATGGAGCCTCCCACCCAGTGTGACACCTCAAGCATATATCAGATCAGACTTGATCAGATGTCTTCAAGGGACTGAACAGATGTTTCCCTTACCAATAACTACAAATAGGAACATGCAAACACAGCCACACACACAGTCCTGTTCACAAGCATTCACACACCTCACCTCTTGCGTGTTAACTGCGAGCTGTCCCTCCAGGGTGGAAACTCTCTCAAGAGCCACACGGAGCCTCTCACGTACCTGACAAAACACACCAAGACAAAGCACAGAAACATGAGGACGTGCTTTATTATGGGTCATTGTACAAAAAAAGTTGAAAGTGCTGTCATTCACTTGTACAGACACCAAAATCCTTTACGTTAACTTAAAAACGGCATCAATTATATATGTACAATTAGCACAAAGACTGTCCTTGGCATGATAAAACTAAGTTTATTCATCTAACATTTAATGTTACATTTTGGCAAATAAAAAAAACTAAGATCTAGGAATTGCTTTATCACTTTTGTCTTTCATCGAAGTCGAGCCCTTTTTTATAAAAATGTCTTGTTACATTAAACATTACAAATATTAAATATAACATCCACATGGTTAAAAAAACGTTGAAATACATTACATTGTATATACATTACAAGGAAGGTTTTGGAATGAAAGGAGAAATACATTTCAGAATATTTGTACTGCCTGAACTCCACCTTTTCTGTAGAATGACCGTTCTCCTTTATCTCAAACCACAATCCCTGATTTCCATTTAGATCTGTTTATTTGTCACTCTGGGGCAAGACACTTTTCCCCTTCCTGTCTTTGTGTTTCCCTCACTCCTCTCCTATCAGGTGCAGTCCCAGTGATTGGGTTCTACCAATCATGCAGGGCGGGGCTTGGCAATAAGAGGAGGAAGACATAAGAGTTGAGGGGGGCGGAGGGTTGATTGCACAGCTGCGCTGTGACTGAGGTTGGCATGGCGGGTAGTTCGGGTGGAAGCGAGGTGGATATGCGGGAGGGCAGTGAGAGGTTGGACAATGAGGAGGGAGAAATGCATGCGGGGAATAAGGTAAAGTGGAAGGTGAAGAATGAGAAGAAACGTAGTAGGAAAGACGGGGAGTCAATGTCGGATGGGGATGACCAGAGGGGTGCGGAGAGAATGAGAAGGGATAAGAGGCGAGAGCAGGTGGAGGAATGGAAAGTTATGGCTGTGTTTGATGAGCCTACGAGAAAAGTGCTGAATCCGATAGCATTATCTAAAGCTATTGAAGCAGAGGTGGGACATGTTAGAGATGCGAGGTGTGTTGGGCATGGGAGAGTGCTGATTTTTGCTGCTAAGTGGGCGCAGCAAGGCAAGTTAATGGCGTTGACGTCGCTGAATGGAGCGAAGGTGAAGTGTCACGTACCGGGTGGAAGGGCTAAGAGCAGGGGGGTGATTACGGGGGTACCGCTGGATATAACAATGGAGGAATTCAAGAAAGAAGTAAAAGGAGGACGGGTAGTGGAGGCAAAACGAATGACAAATAAAAACAAAGGGAACGGAGAGGAGAGCCCTACGGTGATGGTGGAGTTTGATGGGCATATACCCAGTAGAGTGTGTCTGGGGTATGTGAGCTACTTTGTGAGGGAGTATGTGCCGGCGCCACTAAGGTGCTTCAAGTGTCAACGCATGGGGCATGTGGCCAGTGTGTGTAAGGGGCAGTGTCGGTGTGCTAAATGTGGGGGCCCACATGAGTATGGGAAATGTGAAGCACAGGCTAAAATAAGGTGTTGTAACTGCGGCGGGGAACATAGTGCGGCATATGGGGGGTGTATTGTGCAGAGAAAAGAGGCAGAGGTACAGAGATACAAGATAGTAAATAAAGTAACATATGCAGAGGCAGCAAGGAAAAGCCAAGGCAGCAGGAGGGAACAAGAAATAAGAGCCCAGGAACAGCCAGGAGTGATCACAGGGAGAGGGAGGGGCAGGTGGTGGAGGGGGGAGATAAGAAGTGTAGTCATGGGGGATGCTCAGTTACAGAAGAGACACTGGTGGTGAAACGGGTGGATTTTTTGGCATTTATGTGTCATATTCTTAATATGAGTGAACAGGTGAAGAAAAAGTCGGCACGGATTGAGATGGTTGTTAGGGCTGCTAAGGAGTTTATGGGGATTATGGAAGTAACAGGGGAGATGTTACATGGGATGTTGGCACAGCCCAAGAGTGGGGATGTGGATATCAGTAGTAAATGATGTCACTGGTGGTGTTACAATGGAATGCAAGAAGCTTAGTAGCTAACGGGCAGGAGTTCAAGAGATATGTATATGGGTTAGATGTAGTGCCAAATGTAATTTGTGTGCAGGAAACGTGGCTAAAACCAATGCTGGAGTTTGCAATTCCAGGGTTTCATGCGGTAAGGAAGGATAGGATAGAGGGTGGAGGTGGGGGATGTGCTACGTTTGTTGAGGACGGACTGGCATACAGAGTAGTGGAGGTAAGTGATGCAGAGTGTGTCGGGATAGAGGTGTGCAGGAAGGAAGGCGGCATAGTGGTGTTAAATTTTTATAACCCGTGTAAGCCTCTAAGTGCAGAGCAGTTAGATGTAATGGGTAGGTGTGGTGGGGGTGGAAAGATGATTTGGTGTGGGGACTTTAATGCACATAATGAGATATGGGGAAGTGGACACACGGATGGTAATGGGGCAGTGGTGGAGGAATATATGGAGGGTTGTGGGATGGTATGTGTTAATGAGGGGGGCGGTACTAGGGTAAATATAGGGAAAGGGACTGAGTCCTGTTTAGATCTAATGTGGGTGTCTGCGGCTATGGCAGGGAGGTGTGAGTGGCGAGTGATGAGAGACTCCACTGTAGGGAGTGATCATTACCCTATTGTTTGTAGGTTTGAGGCTGGTGTATGTATGCAGAGCAGAGGGCATGGCAAGAGGTGGTGTTATGAGAAGGCTGATTGGATCAAGTTCAAGTACTTGTGTGAGAGGGAAGGACGGAAGTTGACAATGGAGGGATCAGTGAATGAATGTGCTCAGGAACTGACAAGCATGCTAGTGGCAGCAGCAGAGGTGGCTATTCCAGTTAGTAAGGGAGGTGGTAGGAGGAGGGTGGTACCGTGGTGGACTGATGAATGCTCCAAAAGAGTACGTGAGAGGAACAAGGCGTTTAGGGCACTGAGGAGAAGCATGACAGATACGAAGGTGTTGGAGTATCAACGTAAAAGGGCAGAGACAAGGAGAACAATAAAGAGAGCTAAAAGGGAAGCATGGCGTGAGTTCTGCTCTACCATTGGGATGGGGACGGACATTGGCAGGGTGTGGAAAATGTTCCGGAAAATGTTGGGGAAAGGAGGAAATGCGGAAATACCAGTGTTGGTGGTGGGGGATGCAATTGCTATGACAGGTAAGGAAAAGGCGGATGCGTTGGGGGTAGCATTTGCGAAGGTTCACAGTGGCGAGCACCTATGTGAGGAGAGTAAGAGGAGGAGATGCGAGATATTAAAACAAAAGGGAGATGTGTTGCATAAGAAGGCAGGGACGGAGGAAGTGATGGATGCGGAATTCACTAAGTTTGAGCTGACTAAGGCACTGGTAGGATGCAGGCGTTCGGCACCGGGAGAGGACAGGGTAGGATATGAGATGGTGAAAAAGGCACCTGATAATGTAATGGAAGCTATAGTAGGGCTGTTTAACAAGGTGTGGAGGACTGGGGTGCTGCCGGACGGGTGGAAGCAGGCGGTAGTACTGCCGTTTGCTAAACCGGGAAAAGATCCAGGGAAGGTGGATAGCTATAGACCAATAGCGTTGACCTCAAACCTATGTAAACTGATGGAAAAGATGATAGTGAAAAGATTGATATTCTACCTGGAAAGTAAGGGATTGATGAGTGAAGCACAGAGTGGGTTCAGGAGAGGAAGGTCTACTATGGATGCACTGGTGGTGGTTAGCACAGAGATAGCCAAGGCACTTGCTATGAAGGAGAAGATGGTGGTGGTGTACTTTGATATAGAGAAGGCGTATGACACTATGTGGAGAGAGGGGGTGTTAATGAAGTTAAGTGCATTGGGAGTTGAGGGCAGAATGTATAATTGGATTCTGGATTTCTTGTTTGACAGGTACATACAGGTGAGGGTTGGGACAATATTGTCAGAGAGGTATGAGGTTGCTAATGGCACCCCACAGGGCAGTGTGATTAGCCCTGTGTTGTTTACAATCATGATCGACGATGTGTTTAGGGATGTAGGGAGAGGTATGGGTAGGGCACTATATGCAGATGATGGGGCTTTGTGGAAGAGAGGTAAGAATGAAAAGTTTGTAATGAGGAAGATGCAAGAGGCGGTGGATGTGGTGGAGGAATGGTCCAAGAGATGGGGTTTTAGGATGTCGGTGACTAAATCGTGTTTCATGGTGTACTCGAGAAGGAGGGTGGGGGAGGTTCGGTTACACATGTATGGCCAAGAATTGGGAAGGGTGTTAGAGTTTAAATATTTGGGATTATGGTTTGACGGAAGGCTCACATGGAGGAAACATGTGGAGTTTATAGAACAGAAGTGCAGGAAGGTGCTGAATCTGATGAGGGCTGTGGCAGGTGTAGACTGGGGGGCAGATAGGAGGACACTGTTGTGTATGTATCAGGCACTGGTAAGATCCACGATAGACTATGGGTGTTTTATTTATGGAGCTGCGGCCAAGACGGTGATACAGCGATTGGACAGGGTGCAATCACGAGCACTGAGGCTGTGTGTGGGGGCTATCAGGACCACTCCAGTAGTGGTGTTGCAGGTGGATACAGGGGAATTGCCACTGAGCTTGAGGAGGGACAAGTTGGCGCTGTCGTATTGGGGCAGGCTGAAGGGGTGTGCTGAAAGCCACACGGCGGTTGTGGCAACTAGGGAGTGTTGGGAGAGGGACAAGAGTAGTTTGAGGATGTATGGGTGGACAATAGGGCAGAAAGTGACAGAGTATGGCTTGGAGGGGATAGAGATACGGCCAGCGATTGCCTTGGGGCCCATCCCTCCGTGGATGTTGCCGATGCCAAGAGTGGATGTAGGCATGATGGAGGAGAGGAGGGAGTGGGGCAAGGGGGACGTGAGTGTGTGTGTGGAGAAGTATGTCTGTAAACGGTTTTATGGTTTTGTAAGGGTGTACACTGATGGATCTAAGGTAGTGAATGGTGGTAGAGTGGGTGCAGGAGTGCATGTGCCGGAGTTCAGTGTGAGTATCTGTAAAAGAGTCACTGATAATGTGTCGGTGTATACAGCAGAGATGGTGGCTATGATCATTGGGTTGAGATGGGTGGAGGATGTGACACCATGTAGGGTGCTGATATGTTCAGACTCAGCAGCAGTGTTAAGCAGTGTTATGGATGGTAGGTCTGACAGGGAAGACCTATTGGGAGAATTGATGGGGATATTGCTGGGGTTGCAGAGACAGGGAGTAGAGGTGAGGTTCTGCTGGGTTCCTGCGCATGCTGGAGTGGAGGGTAATGAGGTGGCTGACATGGTGGCAAAGAGTGCTGTAAGGAGGACTGAGGTGGATGTAAGGGTGTCGTTAGGGCGCAGGGAGGTTAAGTCGTTGATACGGGAAGCAGGGAATGCGGAGTGGGAGAGACAGTGGGGTGAAGGTGGTAAAGGGAGGCACTTCCGGGGTATAAATAGGTCAGTGAAGGAGGTTGGGGGAATGATGGGGTGCAGGAGGGAAGAGGTAGTGTGGAGTAGGTTAAGGGGCACACAGGGTTGAATGGCACGTTGAGAGTGGTGGCAAAACATGACACAGGTTTGTGTGATAGATGTGAGGTGGTGGAAACAGTTGAGCATGTACTGTTTGTCTGTGGGAGGTATGATAAGGAGAGGGTGGTGTTGTATGGTAGTGTCAGGAAAACAAAGCGGGGCTGGGATTTAGGTGGGGTGCTTGGGGGTGGAAAAGGGAAGGAGGCAGTAATGAAGGCAGTATTTCTTTTTCTTAGGAACACGGGGCTGTACAACAGGATATAGAAGGGAGGCCGTGACCGGCCTCACACTCCAGTGCAGTAGGTGGCGGTATATGCACCTTTAAGTTGGTGCGATCTGCCAGTAAACAAAAAAGAAGAAGAAGAAGAAGAAGTTGAGGGGGGCGCGTTTGTTTGCCTGCATACTGGCAGTCGTTTGTAGTGGGCAGTTGAGGACCGGGTGAGTCTGGGGAACCCTGTACATTGATACCTCAACAAAGTTGCTTTTTTCTAAAAACACTAGGTTTATTGGTGAAACCTGTGTATTTTGTTTTATCCAAGAGGTTTTTTAGAGAAGCATGCAAAGCCATTTGGTTTATCCTATTTCTAGAGCTAGATAAACTTACCAACTGTTTCCTCCTGCCCCACACTGGGTGTAAACTCTTTATTAATTAATACTTGGAATAAAGTTTGTAAATTGCACTCCTTGCTTGTGTAGTTCCTGTGTTTGTCCCCATTAATATAGGGAGAGCCTCTCAATTCGGTTTGATTGACCTTCTCCTCGACGCCAGTTTAGGGCCAATATATTTTCTTCTATATCTAACAACAAGTACAAAACGTAATTTTTTTTGTCCTGATGGTGGTCAGTTGTTCTTTCGGCCTGCGGGCCTCCAATTTTGATCACGTTATTTCGTGTTATAGTCTTAATTGACTACACTAGTATATTATATTGGTTACTAAAAGCTCCTCTTTTTACCTCACCAATACAGAACAGGAGTTTTAGAATTTTCAATTTCAAATTTTTCATTTTCTTCCGTTTTTACATGTTACATGCTTAGTGTTATCTGTTATTGCAAATTCACAACTTACATCTTTTTCAAATTAAAAGCATTTCAGCGACAATCTTGTCACTTCAATGTCAAACTTTTACTATGAAAATAAAAAAGTACTGTGTTTTAACAGATAACAAAAAAAGCATTAATCAGTGAGAAGGGGAGTATAGCAAAAAATGAGGAGTGTGTGACCAGACTAATGTAAAATGTTCTGAAAAGATATCAAGGGAAGAAATCCTTTCCACTGTATATATGTGGTGTGTGTCTGTCCACCTTTTCATCCAGAGCTTTGTGGTGTTCAAAGAGCGACTTCAGGGCTTTGAGGACCTCCACCTCGCTGGAAACTCCAGATGGTGGGGGTGCCTGTCTCTTCACTACGGTCATCCTCAGACTGCGTTCGTGACGAGACACCAGACATTCCAGGTGTTCCAACAGCAGCTACAGCACAATCACACATGAATGCATGCACAACCGATGAGAATACTAATTCAAGTCTTCGAAACTTTGCTTTTATCTGCATCACCACACATGTTGCATATGCACACAATCGTACCCTGGTGTTGTTTCTTTCAGCTTTCAGCTCGGATATTTCCTCCTCTTTCTCCAGCAGCTGCTCCCGGCATATGTTAAGCTCCTTCGTCAGGGTGGCAAACTCCTACAAAACACACACACACACACACACACACCACCCATACAGAGGTTACTGCTGTATCAGTGATCAACATAAACCTTTTTTGAGGAGGCTGAGCACATGTGCAGCTTTAATCTCAAGGTGGGAACACATGTAGGCATTGCTAACAGATTTATGGGTGGCACAAGTAGACTCCTGGCGCAGAGCAGGTTGCTGCTAGTTTGAGGAAAGTTGAAATAATTGTCACTGCTGTCTGGCTTCTCGTAAAAGAAAACATGTTTTCTGAGGGCTTCTGTCTGAAAATGCTTTCTGTGAACCTGTGAGAAGATGGGGTCTGAGCGAGCAGAGATGATCCAAAGTGTACTGTGCTATCTGATTTGCATTAACACAACCTCAGCTGTGCCCCTTCTGGGCCCCTCAGTACCGGCTTTCGGGTTTTCGGAAGCAATAATATTAGTTTAAGTAAAAAAAAAAAAAAAGTCCTCGTAGCTACAATAAAAAAATTAAAAACGTAGCGGTGGAATTAGCAAATAAGATACTGGTACAAAATGCATTTTTGGTGTAAAATCTGTATCTTTACTAGTTAAATTGTAGATTCTAGGTCAACGCGATATAGAATAATAAACTGATTTAACAATCAGGAATAGATTGATTCTCCAACACACAAGTTTGGAGTTGTCAGGAACAGACTAAATAAATGCAAAGTTTGTCATTGAGTGAGTGTCAAAGCCTCATACAGATAGAGCCTTGAAATTTGTGTGTTCAGAGATTATAGCAGCTTACGTTTTCCCTCTCGGGTCCTGACTAAGGAAGTAGTAAGTGGTGTGCTCTTGCAGCAGCTGAGTCATTCTGCTCGGACCCACCTGTGTAAACTGAGGACCATGTACGTCCTGTGAGCCGTGCGAGATTGTTGGTGCGATGGTGAACCTCGATTGATTTAAAACATGTTTGGATGTGTGGGAGCATAGTTGAACCAAAAAGGCAGAGCAGAGTGGTTATATTACGCTTTGAGGAGGAACCAGAAGAGAATTGAACCAGGAAGAGATTTTTGGAGACAGGTGAGTAACACGCTGATGAGAACTTCAATTACCACGTCGTCGCTAAGCAGTGTTTGGGTAATACTTTGTTGTATCTGCAGCAGACGTGGGAGGTATTCCAGATCGGAGGTTCAACAAACTCTGAGTGTCTATCCCAGAACTCCGAGTTGACTTACTCAACTCTGAGTATCCGGTTCCAGAACAGCTGATCTGCGTTAGTTCAATTAACTCTGAGTATGTTCACCTTGAGTTAAGCGGGTGCATGACGATTATAAAAAGCCATCATCAATGGAGCCCCGATACCACGAGTCACCATGACAACAAAAAATAAAAGTGCAACACTTACAGACACTTACAGACACATTTTTATTTTATACCCATCGAAGTCATTTCAAATGTGACGCTGTAGCCTACACCAACACTCATTAAAATACTGTGTGGGAGGAGACAGGTAGAAACTCAGATGAGATGACTCAGAGTTTCCCTGATCTCAGGGTTAACTTGAGTTTTGAGAATCTGAGTTTTCACATAAACTGCTTTCTGGAATACCCCCCTGGTGTTCACATTGTTTACGTGTCTATGTTTTCTGCTTTTGTGATGTTTTGTTTTACTGTTGACTGCTACTTGCAATATATATTTTTTAGTGTACTTTATTACAATATTCTAATAGGCTACCCTTTCCTCTGGATGAATAGATCAAGATTTGGAGTTAAACCGGTGCTGACACACATCTGATATGTATTGAGAACTGTCCAGCTGAAATAAGACAAAAATATGCAAAATGCATTATTCTGCAATAGAAAATAACTGAGTCCTTGTTGGCTTTTCCCACCAGCAAATGTGCCACACTGAATATGGAGTAATCGAATCATCATTACTGAAAACGCAACGAATGGCCCTAATCAAAAAAGTTGTTCCAAAAAACAAACAAACAATGGTGTCAGAAACCATGTTATTTTACTCTCTTTGACAATCAAAGCACATACATAAAATCCAGAGGGAGGGGGACTTTTCATTATTACATAGAGACACTAGATTATTCAAAATGAGTTCTTGGCTGTGTGAGAAAAGTATATTTCACCTGAGCGCCATTTGATTTATTGATATTCATTCTTCACACTCCTCAGTTTTGACAGATAGCTTTGCACTTCACTAAAGCGTTTTAGCACTTCAGACGTGCCTTACAGCGACATTTAAGAAACTACCAACGAGCGACTAGAATTTGGACCACGGTGGTTTCTGGATCCCTACAGTCATTCAGAAAATAGAATGGTTGAAAAAATGTTCAGTCCAGCATTCTCTCATTTTGTACAAACGAGATTTCAGATGCAACTCTGAGATACTGTTACCATTGTTCCGCAATAGCAGCACTTTGAACAAGATAACATCAAATATATGTACTGAACAAGATGAATGCATAAATTAGGTCTTGAGACCTTATGGAGCAATTCCATATAAGGAAAGTTAACCACAACCACAACCAATGTTGAGTGTGCGATATGTTACTTCATGTAGTTTCATCAGAGCCATCTCCAACACTATTCAAACTTCCACGTATTGTACATTTGAGCTGCAAAAAGATTCTTCTGTGAACTGTGATTGTTTGGGAGACGGCTCTAATGGAACTCCAGTACTAACCTGCTGTGTGTTTTATTATTTCAGTATATAAACTTCAATAGCTCTTTATCTGGATGTTTTCTTTTCATTTGGGATTGAACTAGTCTTGTTGAGGTCAAGTTGGGGTTTTGTCTTGTCTCCATGTTTTGTCTTGTCATTTCCCGTTTTATTTTGAAAGATTAACCTTCCTCTCGTTTCAGGTCACTTGCTCCTCCTCATGTGTCACCGGTCGAATTGTCTCCCCTGATTCCTGACTGTGTCCACCTGTTTCCCATTGCCCTCATGTGTCTTATAGTCTGCGTCTCCCTTTCTCTTGTGCAGGAGTGTTTCGACCTTTCGTCTACCCAAGCCTGCCACCACAGACGCAGTGAGCCTCGCCTCGCCTCCTTACGAGTGATTTTTGGTTTGTTTTTTTCAGAGCATTTTTGGTTTTCCTCCTAATGTAGTGATTTTGAGGTTTTTTTTAGGTATTCCTCTGTGAAGAGCGATTTTCTGTTTATAGATAATTTCTTTCAGATTTTGTTAATAGGTTTCTTATATATTTTTTCATTGCTGTTTATTTTATCACCCAGTGTGGGATAGCCTAATAAAGACGGCCTAATATGTTCACCCTTCTGCCCCTGAGTCCTCTTTAAAGTCCTGGTCTGACAGATATACTGTATATATGACCTATATGATCTACCAAATTGTAGTGCGGAGTAAGTATGTTTTTCGCAGTTATTCTTTGCAGGAGTATGCTAAAAAAAGTAATGAAACTAAGACATCCGATGTGTCATTACACAAATGTGTCTCTCTAATTTCACCCTGATAATCAAAAGTTCTTTTTATAGGCTTAGTTGGGGGTTCGCTGTCTTGTCTTGATTTAAGAGTTAGTTAAGGGGGGAAGCAGGATGTGCAGAGCAGGGAGACACGAGTCTGACAGGATGGGGAGTCAGTTTCTGTCCTGGCTGAGGAATGCAAGGTCTGCGGGTCAACTAGCAGATTCTCCAGCCTAAGGGGGGTTTAGAGACACACCAACACTATTCAACATACACACTCTGTTCGTCGATGTTTACGT